ACACACACACACACACACACACACACACACACACACAGATATTCCCTGTCCATAGTCTCACACATACATTAATTATTTCGATCATGACGTCACTCCCACTCGCCTTATCGCAAGCGGGATATAGAGGAGATTAAACCCGGGTCTTGTATGAGGAAATGGGAACACGTGACTGGGACTTGTATGAGGCAATGGCGGCTGAGTTGACGTAATTAACAGGCGTCGACTGTCCACTTGGCTGTCTTATAGCGCCGATTAGATTATTTTGTTTCTTTGTACTTCTCTACTTTTTTACATCTTTGGAAATAAGAGTGTCGTCTTCGTCGTCCTTGTTGTTACTGTTGTTGTTGTTGTTGTATTATATTATTATTGCTATATTGTTATTATTATTATTGTTATTATTATTATTATTGTTGTTGTTGTTATTATCATTATTATTATTATTATTGTTATTATTATTGTTTTTGTTATTATTACTATTATTGCATTACTATATATTTTGTTATTACTTGCTTGATGCCATGATAACACTAATAAAAAAACTTCCTTTCTCCTCGTTCTCTCCTCCCCCAAACTCTCCCTCTCCTTGTCCTCCCCCTCCTTTATCCTGCCCATTTTGATATTGCTTCCCTTAATGGGCATGGTATAACGACAGTAACAAAAAACATCTTCCTCCACTCCTTCTCCCTCTTCTCTTCCTTGTCTTCTTTCTCTTCCTCGTCTTCTTCCTCCTCCCCTTCTTCTTCTCTTCCTCCTCCCCTTCTTCTCTTTCTCCCCTCCTCCTCCTACTCCCTTCCTCCTCCTCCTCCTCCTCCCCTTCCTCTCCTCCTCCTCCTCCTCCTCTCCTTCACCCCCTCCTCCTCTCCTTCCTCTTCCTCCTCTCCTCCCCTTCCTCCTCCTCCCCTTCCTCCTCCTCCTCTTCCTCCCTTCCTCCTCCTCCCCCTCCCTTTTCCTCCTTCTCCAACCCCTTCCTCCTCCTCCTCCTCCTCCTCCCCTTCCTCCTCCTCCCCTCCCTTTCCTCTTCTCCAACCCCTTCTCCTCCTCCTCCCCTTCCTCCTCCTCCCCTTCCTCTTCCTCCTCCCCTTCCTCTTCCCCTTCCCCTTCCTCCCCTTCCTCCTCCTCCTCCCCTTCCTCCCCTTCCTCCTCCTCCTCTCCCTTCTCCCCCTCTTCCTCCTCATCCTCTCCTTCCTCCACCTCCTCCTCTCTTTCCTCCTCCTCCTCCCCCTCCTTCTCCTCCTCCCCCCTTCCTTCTCCTCCTCCCCCCTCCTTCTCTCCTCCCCCCTTCCTTCTCCTCCTCCTCCCTTCTTCCTGCTCCTCCCCTTCCTCCTCCTCCTCTTCCTCCCACCCTCTTTATTTATCCTCCTCCTTTTTCTCCTCCTCTTCCTCCTCCTCCTCTCCTCTCCTCCTCCTCCTCCTCCTCTCCTCCTCCTCCTCCTCTCCTCCTCCTCCTCCTCCTCTCCCTCCTCCTCCCCCTTCTACCTCCTCCTCTACCTTCTACCTTCAATACCTTCTCCTCCTCCTCCTCCTCTCCTCCTCCTCCTCCTCCTCCTCCTCCCTCCTCCTCCTTCTTTACTTCCTCCTCTGCCTTTCCTCTACCTCCTCCTCTACCTCCTCCTCCTCCTCTACCTGCCCTTCCTCTTCCTCCACTTCTCCTTCTCTTCCTTCACCTGCTTTTTTTCCTGAACTTACTCAATTCCATAGATTAACATTAATTATTACCTTTCTTCCTTTCCTTATTCAACTTGTGTTTGAATAAGAAATTTTGTGTTGCAGGGTCTCTGCCTGAGTGGCTGTGAGGATGAGGAAGGCAACCGTGACATGGCAGCTGCACTCATGAAGCGTTACCCGGACCTTGCCCGCCACGTCATTGTTTCTTCTGACACCAAGGGTTCCATCGCAACCGCTTGTCAGAATGGTAAGGTCTTTGCCAATGTTGGAAGTTATGTGAATTAGTTTGGAGTAGTTATTGTAAAGGTATTGGGCCCTAGAAATACTAAAAAATATAATCTAGAGCATCCAAGAATAAAGGAAACATTAATAAGTAACATATTTCTCCCTCTTCCCTAGGTGGTATTGTCCTTATTAGTGGCACCGGAAGCAATGCACTTCTCCTAAACCCAGATGGCAAGACTTATCGCTGTGGAGGCTGGGGTCATCTCCTTGGTGATGAAGGAGGAGGTTAGGGTTACTCCATATCATATGATGAATTGTGATAAATTGTGTGTTTCTTAAGGACCGCATTCATTGTCAGTAATGGAGGTAAAGCATGCCTTGATGATATTATTAGATTGTAAACTAGAGATCATGAGTATGGAATCATATTCTGAAAATTTCTCTTGTTATGTACATTGATTTTAGTAAACAAAGTGTGGGGGAAAAGAAATTATCACAATTTATTAGAAAGTTATTTTTGATAAAATCACTATAGTAGTAAAACATAAATTGCTGTCTAATATGGATATGAATATTGAAATTTAAGTTTGTGTGAATCAAATTTTGCAATAAGAAAAAAATTAATTGATAAAAAAATTGAGTTACCAGTCCTTGTTTTGATTTTTCTATATGAAGGGAAAGAGTGCATGTTCATAATTTAAAAAGAGAAGAAAAAAAACATGTGCCAAAGCTCAGTAAGGAAAGACTTGGGTGGAAATCATGCATATCTTATAAAGTCTTGTTTCCACAGCTTACTGGATTGCTGCTAGAGCTGTCAAGTTGTTGTTTGATGAGGACGACAACCTAATTGATCCACCATTTAACACCGCCCAGCTACGAGACATTGTATACACTCACTTTGAACTAAAAGACAGGTATGCAGGGTATATGTTATGGTAAAGATTCTAAGATCCAAAGATTTAGTTTAATATCTTGTTCTATTAAGAAACAACTGCTTAAGCTTTTAGATAAGGTCAGATGATCTAATTGCTTGTGAATAGCAGTTTAAGTATTTTTTCACTTCTTTTCATGAATGCCAGTGTGGTATGATGAGTGTCAGGTGACCTTTATTATAGTTTTGGTGGATGTAAAGTTAGTTTTGTTGTATATGATAATTTAACTATGGATTTCTTCAGGTTTTATCTATAATATCTTCTTACAGTGGCAACCTTAGGGGAAAGACAGTTTAAACATCTTTCCTTTTCTAAATTTTCTCAAGGTGAAGAAAAAACTTTTTTTGATAAGTATTTGCTTACCTGGAATAAAGATGTTCTTTGAAAATTGTAAGATAATCCCAATAGCTACAACCCCTAAGGCCACCACTAACTTTTCTTTATTTTCTCTTTTTTCAATAGTTATCTTTGGTCTTGACCATAGATGTGATCTAATGTCTATCTAATATTCACTGATGACTTGAGGACAGTGATCTGACCTTTTAAAAAATGTGGAGTCATCATTTATCACAGGTAGTCTTGTTGAGGATACCTTTGGTATTGAGATCGTTTATTGAAAGTGGATGCTTTGGTAAATTTGAAAAGTTTATATTCATAGTCAAACTCTCAGAGTGTTTCATGATACATTGTGCATAAACTGATACGCAGGGACACAAGAAATAATTAGTTATATAAATATTTCATTTTTGATAAGGAGTTGCATGATTTGGGATCCAGCTAAAAGCAACTGGACACACCTTAAATTAATCCATCTATGATGGGTACTTTCAAGTGAAAAGCACCCTAATTTCCAGGAGCTAGCTATAGAAGTGAGTGCCTGCTGCCAAGGGATCTGCCCATGAGGCATAAGCAGCAGGCAACCCACAAGTGTCTTGCATACGAGACGCTGGCTACAGCCCACTTTCTGGCCATCTCATGAGTGAGAAGCCTGTCATTGTTGAGTTAAGATCAGTGCTATAGGTATACAGGTGGACAAATTACATTCTGCAAAGACAAATGACTTTGTTAAACACAAGGCCAATTCTACATTCTCTTCTCTTTTTTGGTAGACTGTCCAAAGATTTTATTTTTTATTCTCTAATTCAACCAATTTCTTTAGAGGTAGCCTCTACTCAGCCCCCTTCTCGCACTGTACCTCTCACTACAAACCAGGCAGGCCAATGCTTGGTCAGGCCACAAATAAGGATTTTGCTACCCACTTGCGTAAGCAAACAGCATATGAGGAACGCATCCATATAGACAGGTTGGGTCCTTTAGTTTATTATCATTGCATGTGGGCAACTTCTTTCTTTGGATAAATGGTGCTTTGACAGTTGTGATGCTTCTAAGTTATTTGTACATATAAATGTAAAACTACTTTAAAAATGGAAAGGTATGCATGGTATATTGGGAAGGTAAAAATTGTGTATCTACGTATGCTGCCCTAGTGTGTTACTATACTTCTTCTTTAAACATTAGCATAATATGCTTACACTATATATCACATCAAGAGGAATCAGCTTTAGGGCAATTTTATTCTTCCATTATGAGTATGGAGTCAAAAAGAAGTATCATATACTTCTGTTACCATACTAACAAGGATATGAATAAGTAAAAGAATTGAGTAAATACTCTGCATTCAGAGATGGATACAAATGGGGGTTTTGATATCTTAAATAAAAATATGTAATGTGGTGTATATAGACTTGTATACTGTATAACAAGTGTAACATGTGTTGAATATTTGCCAATTGACATTAACAATTTTCCAGAATTTCCAGGTTACCAGTTTCCTCTTCAATTACCTCTTTGGTTACTATCAGAACTTCCTTCTCTGTCTCTCTCTAATCAAATAATTGTTTTATGTATTTTCATTTTTATTTTGCATATTTACTGTACTGTACTTACCAAAGGAGCTTTGACATTATTGGACTGTAACCTAATTATCTCAACTTATTGATAGTTATCAATATATACACTTGAGTATATCCTAACCAAAACATCAGTTTAAGTTGTATAAGTGAATATATTTATTATTTAAAAAGTGTGTTTAATGTATTCTTTTGCTTCTTTTTTATAGTAGTTTTTGCTTTCAAATAATATTAGTAAAAAATCATTGTATTGTTTTTTCTTTAGTAC